CCTCCCCCAACTCGCCATTACTCACCTCGGAAACCACCCCAATGTCGCCCCACCGGTCAGCCGCCGCAAGTCTCGCGACGTGGCACGGGAACGCCACCCTCTGGCCCACCCGCCACTCCGCGCCGACAACCCATCTACACGCATCCACCACCACCCCCTCGTCGTCGAGGAGCTCCACCCGCTGCTCTCGCCGGCGAACATGGCCGGGCCGGGGCTCCGGCAGCGCCGTGCAGAAGTCCGGTGCGAAATCGCAGGGGAGGCGTGTATCGCACGGAAACATCCCAAGGTTCTAATCCTTCCCCGGGCAAATGATGCTCCTGCCTGTCTTGTGTCAGAGGAGAAATGTTGAGGACCAGAGAATCAGAATTCAGAACTGCATCTCACTCGTGTATCATTGCATATATAGGAGAGTAAAAATAGGTGTACATGGTATGGTCATTGCTAACATGTGCTCATCGATGATGGCGTAAATGTGAGTGACCGGAGCAGACACATGGGATGCTCGGCCCAACATGACCAAAGCCTATCTCTTGGGCAACAAACTTCTAAGCCGGAGGCCCCTGCCTTGGCCCAATGGCGCGCCTCGTCTTGGATTTGTTGTCCGTCGAAGATGCACTTATTCCGGTGCTTCCATACCCACCAAGCAGTGAGGATGATGATGAAGGCGTGGGCCCACCACTCGGCAAAGACCAACCTTGGCGTCGGGATGGCGATTGTGGAGGTGGAGCGGCACCAAGAGAGCACTTCACGTTTTGTAAAGTGGATGGCGATTGTGGAGGTGGAGCGGCATCAGGAGAGCACTTCACGTTCCGTAAAGTTGTGGTTTTTCGGTAATGACGACGTTGTATTGTGGGTTCTATGCATTCTACTCCGGCCGCGACGTTGATATGGGTCCCTAGTGCCTGATCTTCGACATCTCCGGCTGCCCGGCCGACACGTACACGCGTGCATCACCGCGCATGTACGCACGCGTATGTGTGTCCTCGGAGGCCGGCTGCCTGCCTGGACAGAAACAGCTAGCAAGAGAGGCACTCGCCAACCTCTGAGTAATGTTTGATGCAGACCCTGCCGGCATCATGCATCGGTCGCATGCAATCCTTGAATATTCCGCTCCTTCTCATCCTTTCTTCCGGCCTGAAACGTACTTGAGTCATGAGCTCTAGGTAAGTTTCCATCCTATCCACTTTTTTGTAGGAAGCTATCCACGCTAGTACTCCCTCTGTAAACAAATATAAGAGTGTTTAGATCACTATTTTAGTGATCTAAACACTTTTTACGGAGGGAGTATTTATTAGTGATAGTATTGGTTGGATTTTTGTGTCGAGGATCCATTCCATTCACACCTCTCGACCAAAAGCGTACTCCGGCCGGCGAGGTTCCCGTTCCAGTCTCCGGCGAGGGAAGCCGCGGCCTGCTCCTGGTGGCCGTCCTCTTATTTTGCTGGTCGCTTCGTGTTCGTGGTGTAGGGCTCTGTAGGCGGCAGTCGCTTGCTTCATTTGGGCCGTCGACTTGGAGCTAACGTAAGGATTCCTCTGCTCCTCCTTCTGTCCTCCTTTTTTTCAGCTATAGTTTGGTGCTCCGGCAGATTTGCTTTCAGGGCATGATTCCCACTCTCTATTTATCCACGTATTATTTTCATCCGTTCACCGGCTTGGAGTCTTCTTTGCTCACGGTGTATACTTCCTCCGTCTCAAAATAAGTGTCTCAAACTTAGTATATAATTTTATAATAAAATTAGTACAAAGTTGAGACGCTTATTTTGAGACGGGGGAGTATGTGCTTTTGTTGAGTTAGTTTGTGGGGCCTCTTTTGAGGTTTAGTTGCCGATTTAAGTGAGGCTTTTTTTGAGCCGCGAGCCGGCGACCCTCTTGTTTTCGCCATGCTTGGTGAGGCGGGAATTCTTGACACTACTCCACTCGGATTGCGTGAATCCTCGACAAATCTCTTGGCTAGGCACGACTTAATCAAATATACTTTCGGGAAGTTGTATTAGAGTTGCGACAATTAATTTGAATGGAAGGGAGTAGTGTATATATATATAGCTCATCACAAAAAAATGGAGCAATTAATGCGATTGATAATCCTTATGCATGAGTTAGCCCGTCGTCGAGTAATCATATTGGAGCTACCATTGTATTCCTGCACTTGTTCATCTATTTATATGTTTGCGCCTAATGCACTATCCAACTCATCTCCCCCGATTAGGAGTGTAGTGTGATCATCCATGGGGAAGAAAGGTATAGTTGTGGCGACCACCATCGTCGCCGTGATGACTGTCATCTTTGGAGTCATCGGCGCGGTTTTCTTGGGACTGGTATGCACGCGATATTACCTCTTCCTCGGTTGCAACCTCCGGTCAACCAATAATGTACAATCACTGTGTACAATTATTCATGCAGAGACGCTATGAGGATGACCGCGATGACCGCAGCGTGTGTAAGTACGCGCGATCGCCGGCGACGGCTTGCGGCGTCGTGGCGGCCGTGCTGGCGCTAACGACACAGATTCTCGCCAGCGTGGCCATCGGCTGCTGTGGGGCATGGCAGAATCCCAAGAGGGCCAATCGCATCGCCGCCGTCGTTTTCTACGTCATCTCATGGTATGTAAATAATTTTGTCGCTGAAACCTCCATATCTCAACTACTTTCTGTCAGTAGTCAAGGAACATATCATCTTCGGGCAAAAAAATACTGTCACTAAAGTTAATATTAAATGTTTTTTTAGAAAAGGGAGGAAATTCCACCATGGGCGCTAAACTTGAAACCTAGGAACACAACAGTCCAGTAGATAGAAAATCACGCTATGTTAGAAGTGTCACATATGATAAATATTGAGGTGAATGGGAGAGAAACGGGAGAAAAGGTCTTCTTTCTCCTAATTACGAGATGATTTCTTAGCAACAATATCTCTCATTACATATTTATGCATAACCTGTTGTACACCATTTTATTGTCATATCAAGACTACTTGATGAATTTAAGATAAGATTACTTTATCAACCACTCTACATGCCCTTAGGCATGCAACTCACAATTCAAATCGCTACATGTCAACCTAATTTGCCACGGTGAATGTTGAGGTTGTCGTGTCGATGTCATGTATGCATCATGATCATATGGCTGCCACGGCCGTGAGTCAAAATTATGTGGTGCAGGCTCTGTCGTGCTGGAAGGCAACAGGGAACCAGGAGAAAGTTCGTTCGCTACGGTTTTCAAAAAAATGCACCTCTGTTTAAAATTTGCAGACTAAAGTTCAACAAGATTTATGTACACTTGGTGGATTGTTTGTTTAAGTAGTATTTATTCATGTGGTCTCTATGCCATTCATGTATACTTGCAGGATCCTAGTGATCATAGCGGTGCTGGTGTTTCTGGGAGGCGCCCTATTAGGGATTGAAGGATATACAGAGAAAGTTATTGGGAAAACTATTGAGAACGGTAGCTGTGTTGGAGGTGTCGGAGGTGAAGGAGTTTTCGTGGACGCGACATTCCTGTTTCTTGTAGTTGTCGCCCTTGAGGTCTCCTCGTATCTTCTTATTCAGAAAGATGAGCACCACCAAGCAGCCGCAAGCGATAATCCTCCTTCGATACCAACCGCTACATCTCCTTTGGCAACAACAGCTTCTTCTAAAGATGATGCCCACGCCTCCGCTCCCGCACCAGCAAATCAAGTCTGACGTTAGCTCGCAACTATGGAACAGTTGTCTTTGCCTTCCAAAAGGAGGAACATGCTTTCTGGACCGTTGTAAGTGGAAGGCACTCGTTGCGGTCTTTCGATCCAAAATACTTTGTGGTTTTAGTCCAAATTCAAACCAAAACCAGAAGAAATATTTTGAAAGGAGGGAGTACATGTTTATCATATTTAAGTACATAATGAAATTGTCTTCTTAATATGTGTTTTGAGGGCTATTTTATGTCATATGGATTGTGCAATTTCATATACAATAGAAATTATTTTCTATACTCGTTTAACACTTCTCAAATACATGATAAATATTGTTTTAGCTTATGTTTGATGTGTCCTTTTTCGGTATAGACTTTACATTTTTCGTATACATAAGAATTTTTTCTGATATACTATAACATTTTTCAAATAGTCCCTTCGTCTCATATTAATTGATGCTAAAACAGATATATCTAGAAGCACTTGAATGCTAGATACATAATTAACATTTTTCAGATATATGTTTTGATGTCTAATTTTTTTTATACATAGTGTACATGTTTTTTATACATAAGAAACATTCTTGAAGTAATTCGTTGTGAAATATATGTATTTTTATGTTTCAAATGTGAAAAAATAGGAAAAAAATGCAAGAAAGTAGACTAAGTTAACGAACGGAAAAAGAATAGAACCAATTGTGTTGTTGGGACGGTACATGACCACGCCACTTCAGGCAACGCGATGGTCTATCTCACTATAAGGGAGTTATAGATGCGCGCCTACCCTGGAGGGAGGGACTATATCCCGCTTAGTTTGAGACCTAAGGCATTTCCTATTCGACGCCTTCAGAACCCGTTAAAGTGCATGTCGTTAACTGGTGCAAAAGACGCTCTTACCTGGCCAGTTGATCTATGTCTGGAACGAGAGAGAACTCTTGCCTTCGTTTTTCTTTCTTCAATTATGGTTTTTTCTTTCTTCGCATTTTTTCCCCTTTTCTTTGTTCTGTACTCTTTTCCTTTTTATTTGGTTCTACTTTTCGTTTTACTTTTTCCTTTTTTCTTGAGAAATGCACGAATGTTAAATGTGATGAACTTTAAAAAAAATCAATGAACTTTGTTTTCAAGTTCATGATTTTTTTCAAAATTTGTCAACGTTTTTAACAAACCAATGACCTTTTTCCAAAATCAGAAACTTTTATTGAATTCATGATTTTTTTTCCAACTGCATACACTTTTTGAATTCGTGAACTTTTTTCGTATTTTTAATATATTTTTTAATTACGCAACGAGTATGTATGTAAAATAGAGGATGGAGCACGAGAGCAAAAAGTAGTGTCCATTCGTCTGAGTGGAGTTTCCAGCCAACCAAACGAGAAGGGCAGAGAAAGAGAGAACAAAACGTAAACGATTGTATATAGCCAGCCAAACTAGCTGAATATGCATGGTGAACGTAGCCATACGTGGATCTACTAGAGCACGTCGACGTTGATGGGTGAGCCGGGCCGTCGCTCTCGTTGGTGACCTCGTCTTGCCTGAGCCTCCAGCGGGCGGCTCATCTGCTGAAGAGGAAAAATCCATCACAAATGGGCTGGATGGGTGGATAATTACCAGCTTAGTTAGTCTTAAAGCGAGGAGACCCGTGGAGGCTCTCGTGTTTTTACGGAGAGGCACAAACTCATCTTCGTCACAGAACGTGGGACACAATGAAAAATCTGTCTGCCCTTCAAAATATGCCATGATTGTGCATCGGGGACTTCAACGAGGTTCTCCGCTATGATGAACACAAGGGGATTGGACAGAGAAGTCAAACTCAGATTCAAGGTTTTCGCGACGCGGTAGATGTGTGTGGCCTGATTGATCTTGGCTACCAGGGTCGTAAGTGGATTTTCGAAAAGAAGGTCACCGGTGGATCATATACCAGAGTCAGGCTAGACAGGGCCTTAGGCACGCCCGAGTGGTGTGCTCGCTTTCCACTAGCAGTGGTCGATCACTTAACAGCAGCGACATTTGACCACTCTCCTATCAATCTCACTTTGGCTCCAGTGGATAGAAGGAAGCAGGGAGACAAACCGTTTCGGTATGAATGTATGTGGGACACGCATCCCGAGTTGATCCCTACAGTCCAGCATGCATGGTAGGCGAATGGCCCAAATCTAACGGCGACAGAAGTTCGAGCAAATTTGCAATCCCTGTCCAATAACTTGGGGGAGTGGAGCAAGTCAACTTTTGGGAGTGTCAAGTCAGAGATAAGGAGGTTGAAGAAAGATTTGGAGCGGCTCAGGAGCGATCCAGCGAGGACTGCACCTAGTCATGTTGAGATCAAAACAAATGATCGTTTGATTGAGCTGTATCTTCGGGAAGAAATAATGTGGCGCCAACGTTCACGGGTGGCCTGGTTGTCGGAGGGGGATAGAAACACGCATTTTTTTCACCTCCGAGCTTCAAATAGAAGGTGCAAGAACCTGATAAAATCACTGCAGAAGCAAGATGGGCAGCTTACGGAGGAGTTATTGGAGATGCAGCAAATGGCACTGGACTTTTATAAAGCCTTATACACTTCGGAAGGGGTGGAAGGGCTGGATGATGTGCTTCAACATGTCCCCTCGAGGGTAACAGATGCGATGAATGAGGCTTTGTTGGCGCCGTACAAGGAGGAAGAAGTCAAGAACGCACTCTTCCAGATGTTTCCTACAAAGGCTCTGGGGCCGGATGGGTTTCCTGCGCACTTCTTTCAGCGGCATTGGGATATTTGTGGTGCGGCGGTGACACGGGCTGTTCTGAGTATAGTTCGAGGAGAAGAGAGCCCTGAGTGCGTGAATGACACTGTTTTGGTATTAATCCCCAAGGTATCAAAACCAACTCTTTTGTCTCAATTTCGACCTATCAGTCTATGCAATGTCTTTTACAAGATAGCTTCAAAGGTTCTAGCTAATCGGCTGAAGTTAATACTTCCTGATGTTATTTCTGAAGAGCAATCAGCCTTTGTGCCTGGCCGGCTTATTTCTGATAATATTATCTCAGCATATGAGTGTTTGCACTTTATGAAAAGGAATAAGTCAAAGAACAATAACTATTGTGCTCTCAAGCTTGACATGATGAAGGCGTATGATCGAGTGGAGTGGAACTACCTGGAATCTATAATGAGGAAACTCGGCTTTGCAGCATCATGGGTTACCACTGTCATGACCATGGTGAGAACAGTTTCTTTTTCGGTAATGTTTAACGGATGCAAATCACAAGAGTTTTTACCATCCAGAGGTATTCGTCAGGGAGACCCTATCTCTCCATACCTATTCTTGTTGGCAGCAGAGGGCCTTTTGTGCCTGTTAAAATCTCAGAATGGATCATCCCAGCTCAGCGGCATCAAGGTGGCTCTATCGGCTCCGCCGGTGAACCATCTTTTATTCGAGGATGATAGCCTGCTGTTCTTCAGGGCTACTGTTGATGGAGCAGAAAAAGTGTCACACCTTTTGGATACTTATTGTTTGTCCTCGGGCCAGAGGATCAACAAGGAAAAATCTTCGATTTTCTTCAGCAAAGGATGCCCACAGATTGTTAGAGATGCAGTGAAGGGAAGTCTCCAGGTTCCTAACGAGTCTTTAAGTGACAGATATCTTGGCATGCCCACGGATGTTGGACATGCAAAAAAGGGCACCTTCAAGCACTTGAGCGACAGGTGTGGGACAAGGTGAAAGGCTGGATGGGCAAGTGCCTGTCTACAGGGGGTAAGGAGGTGCTGATCAAGTCGGTTGCACAGGCTATTCCGGTTTACTCTATGTCATGTTTCAAGCTCCCCAGAGGCTTATGTGAACATATAAATTCTATCATCCGCAAGTTCTAGTGGGGCTGCAAGGAAGGGCAACGAAAGCCGGCTTGGGTATCATGGGAAGTAATGACGAGGCCAAAGTATTTGGGAGGAATGGGTTTCAGAGACCTTGAGCTTTTTAATCTAGCATTGTTAGCTAGACAGGCGTGGAGGGTGCTGCACGATCCTTCATCACTGAGCGCTAGGATCCTCAAGGCGTCTTATTTCCCAAATGTGGAGTTTCTTATGGCGGAGTTGGGTTCACGTCCTTCGCAGATTTGGCGAGCCATCCTAGAGGGGCGAGACATTCTAAAACGGGGCATAATCAGGAGGATTGGCAATGGTCACACGACGAACATATGGGATCATAACTGGATACCGAAGGAGGGATCACTGCGGCCAATTGTATCTCGGGTCCTAGACCCACCACAGTTAGTGTCGGAGCTACTCCAACCAGCAACGGGATCATGGAATGAGAACCTTGTTCGTGAAGTATTCTTGCCTACAGACGCCGAGGCAATCCTGCGGATTCCTGTTTGCACGACTAATGTTGAGGATTTTTGGGCATGGCATCCGGAGAAGAAGGGTCGTTTTACAGTGAGCTCGGCTTATAAGTTCATGATCGAGACGAAAATTTCTCGGGAAAACTGGCTTGAAGGGAGGAGTGGATCCTCAAGCAACGATAGAGAAGAGCGGGACTGGACCTCGCTTTGGTCGTTGAAGGTGCCATCAAAGGTCAGAATCTTCCTATGGTGACTTGCCCGCCACTCACTCCCAACGATGGATGTTTTGAACAAGAGAAACATGGCAACACGCGATGCTTGTCCGTTGTGTGGCTCTCCAGACTCATGGCGGCACGCCCTAGTGTCGTGCACGTCGGCACGCTGTACGTGGGCGCTATCGGACGCGGCCCTGGTGGCACATATGGCGGAGATCGAGGAACCCAGCGCCAAGAACCCCATATGGCGGAGAACGTACGGAGCAAAATGGGTGAATCTACATTGTAAACTACGTCTATATACATCCGTATGTACTCCCAATTGAGATTTCTAGAAAGACTTATTTTTAGGAACAGAGGGAGTACTAAGCAGAGGCAATGGAAACCTGACTTCATCGTCCCAGTGAAATGGCAAGAATCTACACAACAACACGCCTTTTTTTTGGATGGGCAACTCAAGGCGCTTTCAAAAAATATTATTGATAATGTTTGTGCGGGTGAAAGAGTGATAACATCGTTGCTCCGGTCCAATTGCAGCCTCTTTACCGAAGTCTTTGGAGTATTTCTTCGAGCAGAGTTTGACGCTGTGAAGAAGGTGTTTTCAAGAGATTTCATTGTAATTCTTAGTCATAGGAGTTATTTTGTATTTTCTTGGATGTTAGGTCCAAATTAATGTACCTGTAATTGTTATGAGTATGAATAAAATTACATGTGTTTCTCAAAAAAGAAGCAAAGTAGTTGTCTGCCTCAACCAAAAATGCGCAAAACTGTTGTTGCACGATCCGCCACTTTCTTTTTTTGCTAATGAATAACTTGTAGTTGAAGATAGCTCAACTGCATTGAGAGGGCCAGAGTCAAACCAAGTCATGGTTCTACCTTCTGACCTAGTAAAATTTGCTAAGCTATTGCTAACCTGATACGTCTCCAACATATCTACTTTTCCAAACACTTTTGCCCTTGTTTTGGACTCTAACTTGCATGATTTGAATGAAACTAACCTGGACTGACGCTGTTTTCAGCAGAACTGCCATAGTGTTGTTTACACGAGGCGTCGCGCCGGGTTTGCCAATTCCGGGGATACGTCGTAGAGGAAGGCACATGTTAGTGTTGCCAGCACCGGGCATGCGTAGAGGAAGGCACATGTCAGTGTTGCCAGCACCGGTCATGCGTAGATTGCTATGGATATTTTAATTATGGGTTGCTACTTGCTAGAACGTGTGGATGCAGCGCAATGATAAAATCTTCAAGAATGAAACCCTCAAGGATTAACTCTTGGCGACTCAGACTGAAGCAAGATCTTATTCTTATTGCATTAAAAAATGATAGTGGCTGTAAAGTCTGAAATCAGCTAAAGATATTGTAGATGACAGCTCAAGAGCTGCCACCAAATACAAAAATGATTGCGCATGCTTCTTCATAAATACAGATTAAGTTCATCAAACAGAGTTGCACGCCCTCAGCCGGGCATAAAACCCAAAATTCTTCAATATTATGATACAATATACAGAGCATCAAATGAGAAGAATTCCTAAGAAATTGATCATATCCACGATTTCGTATCAAGATTTCACAACTGAACATATCAAGTGATAATGTGATACTAATGTATGATATTATGCAATGTGGATGCAGTAACTAAAGTAGTATCATGCGTTATTTTGATACTAGCCCATGATACTATGCATTGTGGGTGGCCTTACTTCCTGTTTGTCCAAACTTGGAACGCTGCCCTAAACAAAAATTGCACCCCAATAACTATGATGATGCTTCACTTGGATTTTCTAACTAATGCGTGATGTATACTATACTTGTATGTATGACCTATACTGACGTACATTTACACAAGCTGACGGACAGATAAACGGGTTAGTTAGTGGTTAGTTCATCAATGCGCTATCGCCGGACCTCTTCTTTGCAGTCCAGAGGAAAGCGATGGATCTCACGGAATCCCGCAGACGGCTAACAGGGAGTCCCTCCAGAGTAGGGTGACACAGATCCCTTCCGGGCTCTTGTTCCTTGCAGGTTTGTTCTCCGTTGGGCTCGCTCGAGCTACGACCTTCATCTTGGTCCTCGTCATTCCGGACGGTCAGGATTTTCTCCAGCTTTATATCTTCATCAGGGAACTGGCGATACGCGGAACGGAGTCCATGGTGAATATGTTCCATTCTTCCTGACCTTTCGTCTTCCCTGTCCAAGTCGATTAAGTCCTGCGCGGTCGGAACGGAACACACCCGATCAGTGGAACAGGATAACAAAACTCACCAGTCACCACAACAATAATTACCCCTCCTGGGTTATTATTCCCCACTAGTTTGGAGTATTATGGAAATAATAATACGAACCTGTGTGGGAAAAGTTTTGAATAGAGGAAGAAACCGGGTTCTGCAGTACTGATTGAATGAAAGAATAAAGAATATAGGAGGTATGGTGAAGCCTGCAGCTACTGGTGATTTTTTTAGGCCAAATACGCCGAAGCAGATGATCTGGGTGAGCACGAGAGAGAACATCACCGTGTTGTGTGCAATTGGCCAATACAAACCACCACTGTCATATCTCATCCGGTAAACGTTGAGTAGCTAAAAACAAATAAAAAAATGGCAGATCATTAGCATACAGAGCCAATAGGGTTCAAATAACAAAATTAGTTTTTTTTCAAGTATTTGCCATCAAGAGCATGTGCTTAATTTTTCCTATTTTATATCCGCAGATAGCACTTTAAGCTGCTAAACAATGTTCACCTGTAACTGTAATGGCAACATAGTTCTAAGAAAATAGAATGCAACATAGCAACCGTCCTGGAATTATTAGTACTGTAGAAGCCATCTCCAGTTTCTCTCTCACCTGATTGCGGTATACGACATAACCCAGGAAGAAGTAGACTAGCAGAAAAGGTAGGATCAAGGGTGCCAGTACAGAGCATGAGAAGCCCAACAGGCCAAACAACATAACTTTTGGTACTTCTGTGTGATACGGAAACGTGGGGACGAACGCTGTATCTTCTTTCATTCTCAGAACATACTTTATTATAAAGTTATAGATCAGACCAAAGAGTTGCATAAGTTCAGACGATAAACTGGCCCATCCTGAAGTCAGAACATAGGTGATGAAGAATGTAGTCTGAAATCACATATTTACAGAATTACTGTATTTGTTTAAGAAATTTAAAGGAAGGACAAATATATTATTACTATTGACCTTCGATAAACAGCATGAAAGACAAGTTAGGACTAACCTGCCCAGGTATGACACCAGCTAGCTGGACAGCGATGTCCTTTGTGGTTGAAGAAGAATTCAATTGGCTTATGACAGCACCAGATGCTAAATTAACAAAGAACACATTCCAAATGAAGAAGTACAGCACTTTAGAGCAAGCACTCCTCTTCCTTTCACTGTGAGATGTAGGCCCCTCCAATGTCGAAAACAATATCATTATTGGCGAAACGGTGTACAGGAATAGTAGCAGTATGACACTTGGAAGGTATCCAGTTATTATTTGGCTTATGTATGGCCTGCACATGAAAGGGTGGTCACTAGAGGCCAACTACAAATGAAGAACAAGCCATGTGTTCAAGATACATCAGAGGGTAGAATGTGTTAATCAGTCTAAATACCAACGATTTTGCATGGTGTTTCAAGTTCCAACTTTAAAATGAGACCTGATGCATACTGGAGTCTACGAGTCAGCGGGTATGAAGATGAGCTTAGAGAGGTCAGTTCCAGTACAACATGGGTACTTACTGCTTTAATAACCCATTAAGAAAAGGAAGCTTCCGATGCACCTGATCAAGCTGGGACAGACCTTGTATAAATGTCACTGGTAGCAAAAATAAGACCGAAAAAACAAGAGAACCTAGAAGCGTAGCTATCCGTCGAATCCAAAGCTGCTTATAGGGAAGCCAAATGTTTGACCAATACACATCATCTGGCTCTGGAGCTAGATCGGTAACCCACTTCGTAGGGTTCGAAGTCTGAAGTGCTTGTGAAGCAAGAAGTGCGCCATACCGAGTTTTGAAAAATACAAAAGCAGCCGCACATTCCTGTAAATAGTTCCAGGACCGACGTTACTGATTTTATACTTACTGATGAACTCAGTGACACAATCAATATTTGCAAAATTGCAAAGCAAACCTCGTTATCTATGTTCTTTGCAACTTCGTCAGTCGGTAACAACTGGAAAGAATTTGAAGAAGCTCCACAAACACAACACGGGTATGTAATTGCTTTGCGGCTCTGATCTAGAGTTGTGTCTGTGGAAGTGGAATGGTCCAACTTTCCACATGCCTTCTTCGCACCAGTCTGCAGCATATTAAACAGTTTTACTCCAAAAGCAGAAAGCAAAATACTAATATGCAGATAAAAGGTACAGATCCAAATCAAACGATTTGAGATCAACTCACTAATTCACAGAGCAAGCAAATATATCACATGGAAAGGAATCAGCAAATATTGCAGTTACCTTTGCAGATAAAAAGTATAAATCAAACACGAATGATTTCAGATCATTTCACTAATTCATGGAAAAGACAGAAAAATATCATATGAAAGGAATGTGCAGCATCATAAATAGCTATCCCTTATACGCCATAGTGATTATAAAACCACAAGAAAAGTAAGCCTAAGACTAACAACATTAAATCATAAAAATACTACGGTAGCAATTATTTTGCATTCTCACTCATCCCCCACCTTCCAAACAAATAGAAATGTTGTATGAGAAATGCTTACCATTATCTTCTGAACTTTCCCAGCCTTGTAAACAACTTGATGGAATAGGTAACTTGATGCATGATACTTGGTGAAGAAATCATCAACGTCACTACTGCACGATTCGTTTGCTGTCTTTGGTATTCCGCGAACAAGCACAGTAAATTGGCCTGGATTTAGTGTTGTGCGTTTAAGGTGAAGGAGCCTCAGCCTAGCAATGTGCTTATACTCCTGAAAGATTGGGTAGAGAAACAACATTACATGTGATCCTCAATATGAGGATACAGAATACTCTGTACTTTTTATGAGCAAAAAACTTACAATATGTAGGAGAAAGCAAGCTACTCCAGATATTATGTAGAGGACTAAAGAATGAACCCAAAGCCTGCAATACAACCAGCACACGTATGAATGTTGCGCCACCATACAATTTCAGCCTTGATAAAACCACCTTATGATAAACTCAGAACAAATTGTTCAGCTCACCATCTTGATTGCACTTCCACATTCTGAACTGTGAACATATGCAATTGTTCTGAAGGAATCTCAAGGTGATGCGTCTTTCGTCCGAAATAATGCACTGGAAGAATTCCAAAAAGGCACAGGATGGCAGCTAGGGAAAAGATGCGTATGCTGCAGAAAAAAAAATGAATGTATCATCAGTTTGCGAATTTGGAATCTGACGTCCGTTAAACAGATAGAAAAAGGATGTCAAGACGAGAACTCGGAGTACCTGAACACTAGTATTCTGTTGAAAGCAATAGCATCCAGCCCAGCAGCTGCCAAGAGATCTTCCTCGGTACACTGCAGGGCCTTGACGATCCAGCCGGTGGATGGAACAAACCTCTCCAAGATGAAGGCCTCTCGGAGCAGTCTATTCTCCTCGGCGATCCTCCGGCCGAAGTAGACCCTGACAAATGCTGGCTGCTTTCTGAGAACGGAATAGAGGGACCACAGGAGCACGCAGATCCCAATGTTGATGCCCGCAGAGGTCATGAGCGCGCTGATCTTCATGGCTTCCTATCCTATCAGACCAGCCACGGACAAGAAACAGGGCACATGTCATCTAAGCATCATCCTTGATGTCCTCGGGACCTACAGGTACAGGAAGATGAAGATATTGCTTAACAGTAGTAGACACTGAAGTAGTCTAAAGCCTAAACTGCACAAGTTCCAGATGAAGCAAAAAGCTGCTCAACGTGGTAGTGTGACAAGACCATAGTTAACAAGGCGTGCCTGGGCGATACCAGCGCGTATTACGCGCATAATTACGGTTAAGCGTGTGCTTTTGTCAGAAAAGCACAATTAACTCCTAGTGATGTTTTCTTTTTTTCAAACTTTGGATGTATCAGTTAACTGAGATTACCAAAGATCCCCCTCTAAGTGGCTACAGAATCCGAGCACCGCCCCCCTGGCTCGATCAAAGCACAAATTCCATCAGATATGAACTGGAGGAATCCAAGCTGTCCCGCTGACTCATGTCATGTAAGCATATACAGAAGCATCATTCTTGATGTCCTCAGCACCTACAGATACAGAAAGATGAGGATATTGCTTAACAGTACTAGAGACAGATGTAGTCTAAAGTCTAAACTTCACAAGTTCCAGATGAAAAGTGTTTAGTGTGACAAGACAATAGTTAAAAAGGTGTAGCAAACCCCCTAGCGCTTAATTGCGGTTAAGCCTGCGCCTTTTGTAAAATAGCGCAAGGCGGTGGGAAAAGCACAATCAACTCCTAGTGCTGTTTTTTCAGCTTTGGATGTATCAGTTGGCTGAGATTACCAAAGATTCACCTCTAAGTGTCTACCGAATCCGAGCACCGTCCCCCCTGGATCGATCAAAGCACACATTATCTAGCACAACATGGTAATATCGCATACTCGGAGCACAAATTCCATGAGATAATATTTTTTGCGGCAAATTCTGAGCAAAAATTCCATGGGATGATTTTTCTGAGCACAGATTCCATGAGATATGAACGGGAGGAATCCGAGGTGTCCGGCTGAGTTTAACAGCTAGTGGGCTATATATTGGACCAAAAGTAGTGAACAGGAACGCTTCAAAATCAGATTCGACCAACTTGGAGGCTAACAATTTTACTACTAGAAACAAGATGGAAACTTCCAACATCTGAACAAAATGCCGAGAACACTTGAGACGAATTCAATCTGCCGCTCTGATGGAAGTAGCAGAAGAACAGGAGCAGAAAAAAGGGGGGAGGAGGAGGAGTAATCCGCTACCTCCAAGCGGAATGGACTGGACAGGAGCAACCGCCGGAGCCAAGAAGTCGTCCGCCCGCCGCCGCAGAGGCAGGAGGAACCCTACGCCACCCTCAGGCGACCGGCAAAATCAGAAGGGAAACGCGGCGGGCATCGCATTGACTGGCGGGGAGAGTAGAGGTGCGGCGCCGACCTCGACGGAGCGCGGTAATGGCGAGGGGCCGAGGTCGCCGGCGATTGGTTGGTGGGAGGGAGGCGGGAGGGAGCGACAGGTCAGAGGAGTTGATGCGTCTCTGCAGAGCAGAGAGAGCAGGCAGAGCCCATCCACTCCTCCGAAGACCAACCAATTCCAATGCGGGGCCCGCCCCGAGTGTATTAAAGAAAATTATGACATGTCTAAAAATTGGACACTTGTATACATTTAGAAAACTTCATGCGTTTGAGAAAAGCTGTTCATACGTGTTAAGAGTATATGTTTATGTGAATTCTTAATTAAGTTCGTGCATTCCTCCTCAAAACAATGGGAAAAAAAGGAAAAAAAGGAAAAAATGATAAAATAATAAACATGAAAACACGTAAAAGCATGATTTTTTTTCTTCAAAGGCAGGAAAAAATGATAAACGAAAAAAATTTAACAAGAAAGCTCATGAAAGGAACAGAAGAAACAAAAAAAAAGAAAGAAAAACACTTGACGCTTGCCATGTCGGCTCAACAGTGGAGACGCTTCGGACGTCGACTCCTTGACGCCCGCAACGAGCGGTGTACATAGAAACTGCGGACCCTCCCAAATTGCCAGGATTATTATTAATTATTAGCCACCTGATAATTGCTCTCCAATCAACATCATTTCATTTCATCATCATTTAACCTCGGTTACTATTTTTGGACCGACCATATCACGTCCTAGCCGCCAATAATACTTTACAAGATACACGTGGACAGCAGAAATGGCATCTCCCCCATGATTTTTTTTATCCTGTGACAATAATGGCTGATGTGGAGTTCACAGTCGACCAAATATATCGTGCCTGACCAATGCTAGATGCCAAGAGCCAGTAAAAAAAATGATTGCACATATGCTTCTCGACAAAAATTGGATGTTTACAGGACAGAGCCAATCAGACAAGCATGACGACCAAAACCTTGGATGTTTACAGGTATATAACAAGACTTTACAGGTAACCATGATGATCATGACACCCCACGACACCGATCACTTTCACGTCCGTCGAAACATCCGGACGCTGCCCTAGGACCAAAATTGCAACCCCCAATTAACCACCATGATGATGCTTTGTGTGTATACTTCACTTGGACTACTGGTATTTCTTAACCTATTCTTCTCTAATGTGTCTTGTGTACTTTGTATATGTATGATCTATAACCCGCTCTTTTTTTTCAAAAAAGAAAAAGGAAAAAAAAACTTGTACGGCCTGTATATATCGCTCTGTACAGTTGCATGAGCGGCCACATGATGAACGGGTTGGGTTAGCGGTTCGGTTAGTTGTCCGACGCTGGCTGGCTGCATCATGACCACAGGCCTCTTTTCTGCAGCCTGATGAGGAAAGTGACGCATCTCACCGCATTCTGCAGACGGCTGACAGGGAGCCCTTTGAGCGTCGGGTGAGACAGGTCCCTCCTGGGCTGCTGCTGTTCCTCGAGGGTCTCTTTGCCGTTGGGCTCGCCCGGGCTACCTTTGCCGTTGGACCCGCCCGAGCTACAACCTCCGCCGTCCTCATCGTTCCCGACGGTCCGAATCTCCTCCAGTTGTATATCTTCTTCGGGGTCAGGGAACTGGCAATACGCGGTGTGGAGCCCGTGGTGAATATGTTCCATTCTTCCCGACACCTCGTCCTCCCTGTCCATGTCGATTAAATTCTGCACGGTCATAACAACTCACCCGTCAGCAAATGGCAATAAAGTTCTGCCCCTGGGCGGCTATTATTCCATAGTTTGTGGTGCACCTAGGTTCATGTTCATCAACACGTTATGTCCTACTACTAGCTTGGAGTATTATTGAGGCAATACAAACCTGTGCTGGGAAAGTGCTGAACAGTGGAAGAAGCCGGGTTCTGCAGTACTGATTGAACAGAAGAGTGAAGATGATGAGAGGTATGGTGAAGCCTGCAGCTACTGGTGATACTTTCAGCCCAAATACGCCGAGGCAGATGATCTGGGTGAGCACGAGAGAAAATATCACTGTGTTGTGTATAATCGGCCAATACAAACCACCGGTGTCGTATCTCGTGCGGTACACATTGAGCAGCTGAAAACATAATACAAATGGCAGATCATTAGCATATGCCGAACAAGATGTGTATCAAGTATTTAATCGTCGGCAATAACATCTCAAATTTTCCTACTTTATATCTGAGGATAGCACTGTAAGCTACTTCCTCCGTCCCAAAACAACAAAATTCACCATTAAGGGCAACATAGTTGTGCTACAAAAACAGAATACTGCCATGGACTTCTCAGTATCCATCTAGAGTTTCTCACCTGATTGCGGTATACGACATAGCCCAGGAAGAAGTAGACTAGCAGAAAAGGTAAGATCAAGGGCGCCAGTACAGAGCATGTGAATCCCAATAGTCCAAACAACAGAACTTTTGGTACTTCAGTGTGATATGGGAACGAGGGGACAAACTCTGTATCTTCTTTCATTCTCAGAACATACTTCCTTATGAAGTTATAGATCAGACCAAAGAGTTGCATAAGTTCAGATGATAAACTGGCCCATCCTGAAGTCAGAACATAGGTGATGAAGAAGGAAGCCTGAAATCAAAATGGATTTACAGAATTGCAGTCAGAATATATTGACCTTCCATAAACAAACTGATCTTCTGGAGTTTTCAAAAAGAAAAAAGATCCTTCTACAGCGTGACAACAAGATAGAACTAACCTGCCCAGGTATAACCTTAGCGAGCTGGACAGGAATGTCCTTCGGGCTTGAGAAAAAATCCAATTGTTTTAAGACAGTGCCAGATACCACATTAACAAAGAATACATTCCAAATCAAGAAGTACAGCACTTTACAGCACGCACTCCTCTTCCTTTCGCTGTGAGATATAGGCCCTTCTAGTGTTGAAAACAGCATCATTATTGGCGCAACGGTGTACAGAAATATTTGCAGTATGACACTCGGAAGGTATCCAGTTATTAGTTGGACCAGGTGGTGTGGCCTGCACATGGAAGAGGAGTCGATAGAAGCCAAATACAAATACATGCCATATGTCTAAGCTGAACAGTAGTACCACAATAATCCCAAAGCACTCAACTAAAATGCGTTAATAATCGGTCTAGATATACATGATTTTGCATGCTGTTAGCTCTACATGTTAGTGGATAAGAAGATGAAGTTCAATAGTAGTAGATGTCAGTTCCAGTGCAACATAGGTACTTACTGCTTCAATATCCCGTTAAGGAAAGGAAGCCTCTTCTGCAACTGATCAAGCTGAGATAGACCATTTATAAACGTCACCGGTGCCAGAAATAAGAGCATAAAAACAACAGAACCAAGTAGCGTCGCTATCCGTCGAATCCAAAGCTGCTTATAGGGAAGCCAAATGTTTGACCAATACACATCATTTGGTTCTGGAGCTAGATCAGTAACCCACTTCGTAGGGTTTGATGTCTGAAGTACGTCTGACGCGACAAGTGCTCCATACCGAGTTTTGAAAAATACAAAAGCAGCTGCACATTCCTGTAAATAGTTCAAGAACTGAAGTTACTGATTCTATACAGACTTGTTGATGAACTTAGCAGAAAAAGCAATGTTTGCAAGATTGCGAAGAA